CCAACACAACTAGAATCCACTCAATATCAAGTTTTAAGTTGTGATCTTTTTGGGCTAAATCATCCTCATGGGCAATGCATTTACATCTTTCCATCTCATGGAGAAGAGGTGAATTACATGGGGAATCAAGCTCGACAAGGAGGAAATTATGGTGGTAATTATGGGAAGAATTGGCAATCACACCCTAGCACAGGGTGGAACCAGAATGATATTGCCCAGTCTAGTAGACCTCCTATGCAAATGCTCAACTTGTATGACCGACAATCTAAATTAGAAGAAACATTGAACCAGTTCATGCAGGTCTCAATCTCTAACCACAAAAGTACTGAAGCATTTATAAAAAATTCTTGAGATTCAAGTGGGGCAGCTGGCGAAATAGTTGGCTGAAAATTCTCGTGGAAGTTTTTCTGCTAACACTCACACTAATCCAAAGGAGAATTGTAGTGCAATTATAACAAGGGGTGGTAAGAGAGTGGGTGTTTTGGAGGATGAGGAAGAGCAACAGGAAAAAGTGGCAAAAGTGAGAGAGGGAAGTGGAGAAAATAATGAAAAAAATAAAAAAGGAGAAAATGTAAAAGAGAATGTCATAGAGGGAGAAGGGTTGGCTAAGGAAGTTGTTGTTAAAAAATCAAAGAACTAACTAGCAAGAGAATTGAGGATGAAATCCAAGGTGTTTAGTACCAAGGATGTACCATATCCCCAAGCCCCCAAGTAAAAAGGATAAAGAGAAGCAATTTACACGCTTCATGGAGCTTTTTGAAAAGCTTCAGATCAATATTCCATTCTTAGAGGCATTAGAGCAGATGCCCACTTATGCGAAATTCATGAAAGACCTCTTAACCAAGAAGAGAAAGTTCAATGAGCAAGATATCATTGAGTTGGAACGAGGTGCAGTGCCATAATTCAAAAGAACTTACCTCCCAAGTTCAAGGACCCTGGAAGCTTTACAATCCCAATCACTATTGGGGACCTATGGGTTGGAAGAGCACTGCTAGACTTGGGTGCAAGCATTAACCTCATGCCCTTGTCTATGTTAGATAGAGTTGGCCAGGTGGTAGTAAAACCGACACGCATGACTTTGCAGCTAGCCGATCGGTCTATCAAGTACCCCATGGTGTGATTGAGAACATAATAGTTAAAGTTGACAAATTCACATTTCTAGCTGATTTTGTGATTTTGGACATGGAAGAGGACTCTGATGTTCCTATTATCTTGGGAGGACATTTATGAAGACTACACGAGCAATCATTGATGTAGGGGATGGTAAATTTAAATTGAGGGTCAAAGATGAGGTGATCACTTTCAATGTATTTGAAGCCACGACCCATCCGAATGATAAGGGTGTTTGTTTCCGAATGGATGTGCTGGATGAAGTAGTGTGTGAGGCTACGAAGAAACTTAAAAAATAAGCTCCCAATGATGTAATCCGCTTGGAGCTGCTTTCATTCTCACTACTTGGGAAAGCTAAATTGTGGCTCAATGCTTATGAGTCAGCTAAGCATTACAAGGAAAGGGTGAAGTTGTATCATGAACGAAAGATCTTGAAACAAGAGTTTCATCTGGGACAACTTGTGTTCCTTTACAACTCCCGGTTGAGACTTTCCAGGGAAGCTGAAGTGAAAGTGGTCAGGGCCATTCAGATTTAAGTAGGTTAGGCCTCATGGAGAAATTCAAGTGGAGGATCTTGCCTCCAAAGAGAGCTGGGTGGTAAATGGCCAAAGACTTAAACTTTACCTAGGCGGTGAAATTGAGCGAGCTGATTCCATCGTTGAATTAAACAACCCCTAAAGTCTTGGCTTGTCAAGCTAGTGACATAAAACGAGCACTTTATAGGAGGCAACCCATCATTCCTAAACCAAAAACCAATTAGCATGCATTTAATTTCAATTATTGGTGTGTTTTAGGTGTAAGTACATAGTTAGTCATTGTGTTTGCTTCTTAGTTGAGAAAACATTGTGATTGTAATGGCTTGAGGAACTTCATGTTGACCTATACTTGAAAGGTTTGAAAATTTTGTAGTAATTCTGAAATTCACACTTAGCATAGAGGAAGAAGAAAAATTCTCTGGAAGTGCCACGCTTAGCCTCAGTTTCAAGCTGAGCCCCAAAACTGAACTGGAAAACTGGGAGTTCTCTCTAGAACTCCCAAACTAAGCTTAGAATCCACGCTCAGCGTGGACGTGACATGGAATTTGGGCTCTTGGAGCTCCTACGCTCTGCCTCAGAACCCACGCTTAGCTTGGGAGTCATTTTTTACAATAAATGCTCTCACTCTCTCCCCAGAAGCCCATTATTTTCCTCTACCCCTATTTAACCTCTCACAATCACTCTCAAACCCTAGGATACATTCTTCTCCTTCTCCTTCTTGCTCTTGGTGTGGGTATTGCTGCATATCTCTTTTCTTGCTTACCAAAGGCGTGAAGGTAAGTCTCCCTCCCTAACCTTGCATGCTTCCTTCTACCTTATGCTTCTTAGTTTATCTTCTTGTCTCTCTATTCACCTTTACCCATTTTCGTGCAAGCATCTATATCTCTTGGGTTTTTCTTCTTGTTGCATTGCTTTGTTAATTGTTGTGTGTTTGCACATATGTGGTTCATGTCTTTGTAATTTATCTTGTTTAAACCTTAGCTGTAGCTTATTCTGCTCATGTAGCATGCCTAGGGGGCCATGAGCAATAGTAAGGGGAGGAGGTGATGTAGCTGATGATGATGAGGAGTCTGAGGATGAGGAAGCTAGTGAGGAGGATGACGATGAAGAAGAGTCGGACGAGGCCGAAGAGGACGAGGAGGAAGACTAAGCTGTGTCACATTGGAAAACTATATTTAGTTATTCTGTTCTATTATTTTGCTATGCTATTTTGTCTTTTTATCCTACTGCGTACTGCTTTATTAACCTTTTACCTTTTGTTGTGTACTTTGAGTGGTATTGATGTTAATTAGTAGTAACCTTTGCATGTATACATATTTCAATGATTCTGGCTGTGTGGTTTTAATGCGTTTTGAAAAATGGAAAATAAAAAATCAGGTGTGCATGTATCCCTTAGTGAACAAGGGTATTTTAAGACACAAGATCAAATATGTTTATGGTTGCACTCTAGGGATGATTAGTGATAATGTGTGATAGTTACTTTTGTGGTTAATGACTGTGGCATGATACTTTTGAAAATTTTTGAACACCTTTATTAACCCATGTGAGTTTTGGCCCCTCTTACTGTAAGAGTGTTACCATTTGATTTCATGCAGTTGATTTTTCTTGAGTCTCTTTTGAATTTGCATAGCATATGTTATTTAGAGATGATCAAGGCAATTTTTCTTATAAATTTGAGCCACTTGACTAAAAAGCCATCCTGACATAAAAGTGAATCCATTGCACCCTACTTTGAGTCAAACAGTGAATTCATTGAAAACCTTGAAACCCTTAAGAAAAACAAAATACTCCCACATTTTAGGAATATGAGAGCAATAAGATTGATCATAAGAAGAGAAAAGTCTTAAGTTTGGGGTATTTTGGGGTGATCATTGTTGCTGAGCATATTGATGAATGTGCATGTTATGGTTGTACCACTGTGGCCATTAGTCAGTTGTTATTCAGTTTTAAAAAGAAAAGAAAAAAAAAAGAAGAAAAAAATTCAAAAATTCAACAAAAATCAAAAATCAAAAAATAAAAAAATCAAAATTCAAAAAGGTGATTAAATTGTGTGAATAAGCGTATTGTATGATCTATATGCTTTGGGTGAAGGTATTATCTTGGGACTTCTGGGGATAGAAAAAGGAAAATTTTGTATTCGTTTCTGTTTGGATGCTTGATGATTTTGATAATTTTTATGTAGACTTGTGAGTGTATTTCTGGTATTAGATGTTAAAATCGATGTTCTGAGAGAGATTGAGTTGTTTGAAATGTGCCTGTGAGTTAGGATTCATGAAGGATTGGGGTTTTGATAATTGGTAGGTTGTTTTGTGAAATTGATGATTCAATCAGGTTTCATATTGATTTATAAATGTGGTTGTGATATTATTTGGTAAAATTGATGATCTAGATGATGATTAGATTTATTGGGATGTGCTCTGTAAGTTATGATTCTTGTAGATTAATGAACACCCTTAATTATATGAATTAATGAGTAATTGGGAGATTTTACTTATGGATGTAACTTAGTATTTTTGTAATATATTTCTGTGTGATAAACCAAATCAACTTGCATTTGTTGGGTTAGAAAATAGACACTTGGGGCTATGATTTAGACTCTAGAATTGTGTAAAAATGTTAAGAATTGATTGAGTTATGCGAGTTATAAGTTCAGTCTCTATTCTAGTGCATGAAATATTAAGTTTTGTGTTGTCAGCCATGCGAGGTGACATTAAAGACATTTTTAGCCTTTGTTTTCTTCACAAAAGTTGTATCTTTGGGTGTTATATTTATAACGGCTTTGGAATCATTCAAAAAGGATGTCTATAACTCTAGATATGACTTTTTTAGTGAACAAGGGTTAAGCTGTCAATGTCGATTATATTTGTTTCAGATTTTGGAATTTTTAGCTAAGTAGATAATTTTTTTTAGAATTTCAGGTCTTCATAAGAGTTGTAGATTATTCTCTTATATTTCTTTCAAGATAAGTTTGAGCTTATTTGGATGAGTATAACTCTTTGTGTGTTATTTTCTTTGACAATTGTTGAAAGGAGATGCATAATGTTTTGATGTTCTAAGGTCTTATCATGTGGATTGAAAAGTGGTTTAAAGTTGTATGATATTAAGTTGTAAAGTTAGTTAATATATGTATGATGATGTGATGTGAATTCATGGTGAATTGTGTGAGGGGTATGTGAACCATTGTTTTGTGTGGATTTATCTATATTGTGCATGTGATGTGGAATTGAAATGTGAACTATGATGTGATGATTGGGCACAGTCGTATGCGTGATACCAGGTCGTAAGAGCATGCACGTCATATAGTGTTATTTTTGTGTTGTTGGGGGCATGGTTGTATGTGTGATATGGTACTAGATGTGTGATGCATCAGGTACAATTGTATGCGTGATATCGGTGTCAGTACGTAGTGGAATGCATTAGCATAGTTGGGTGCATGACACGATGTTGGACATGTAATGCGTCAGCAAGGGTGTGTACGTGATCTAGTGAGGGATGTGTGACACGGTGTATATGTACAATTTGTTTATATGTACATATGTGAATTGTGATGAGATGATGAAATATGTGGATTGTGATGAGATGATGGAATCTGTGTGTTTATGGATTATATTGCTTTGAGATTGTTTGTGAAATTTTATGATGTGCTTTTTATATAAATATTTTCTTTTCTCACTATACGTTTGTGGTTGTTTTTAGGTGAGGAAGATGTGGACATGGGTGGCATTCGAGGTGTCAATAGTCGAGTCATGGGATTGCTTTGGTAGTGTGACATCGAGGCAAATGATTTTAGATTATTTATTTTATTATATTTGGATTTTATATTTCTTTATTAGTTAAATTTATGAACTTAAATTTTATAAATATTTGTTTTAAATTATTTGGATATTGGAAGTATTTTAATTGTGAACCATTTTACTCGAGTTGGGGAACTATTTCTTTATATTTTTATATTATATGTGTTAGGATAGAATGGGTGTTACAGACTTTGCCTGTGTGCTAATGGATTCACTCCTTTTAACCAATCAGGAAAAAAAATATTCTTATTGACCAATAATTGTTACACCATATAACCTTCCTTCGAAGCTATGTTTGATGACACCTTATATGTTTTTGACTTTGATCATTCCAAGTCAACACAATCCAAAAGGTAAAGTTGATGTGTTTTTGCAGCCAGCCATTGATAGATGAATTGCAACAATTATGGAATAATGGTGTGATAACATACGATGCTTCAAGAAAGAAAAATTTTAAATTAAGAGTTACACTGATGTGGACAATAAATGAGTTTCCAGCTTATGAGATGTTGTTTGGGTGGAGTACTGTTGGAAAATTTGCATGTTCAATATGCATGAAAAAGACAAAAGCTTTCAATCTAGATAATGGAAATAAAATATCTTGATTTGATTGTCATCGTCAGTTTTTCCCTCATAATCATGCTTTTAGGAGAAATAAGGATGCATTTTACAAAAATAAGATTGAGAAAGATGATCCCCCTCATAGGTTAGGTGGTGAACAAGTGTGGCAAATGGTTTATGACATCCCTAAAACAACTGAAGTAAGGATATGCAATGTTCCAGGTCATGGAAGATCCCATAATTGGACCAAACAAAGCATATTTTGGGATTTGCATATTGAAAAAAAAATTTATTAAGACATAATCTTGATGTTATGTATATAAAAAATATGTTTGTGAAAATGTGTTTCATATTATTATGGACACCAAAGAGAATCCTTGTGAGTGTATTTCTGGTATTAGATGTTAAAATCGATGTTCTGAGAGAGATTGAGTTGTTTGAAATGTGCCTGTGAGTTAGGATTCATGAAGGATTGGGGTTTTGATAATTGGTAGGTTGTTTTGTGATTTACTCTTCTACTCCTGTGGTGTCCTTTGTTGACCCAGTAAAACCAATTTCTTTTGTTAGCCGAGCCACATTACAACCCATGAAAGACCTTGTGATCTATGCATGATTATGTGACTATTTGAATTTGCTTGAGATGAAAAGCAAATTTGACTTGTGTGATTCAATTGTGTAAATTTGAGAGATATTCCCACCTAAATACACTTGTGTGAAAGAGAGAAACACTAACCTTGGTGAGGAAGAGGTTGTTTTTTAATTTTCATTAGTATCACTGCCATGCTTGTTAATCCCTTTAGGAATTGTTGCAATACACTTTTGATATCAAATTGTGTGGGCACCGCATTAGTCTTGGAAGACATGTATGGTTGTTTGTTGTAGTTACCAATTTTCAAATCATGTTCAATTAGGATATTAGGTTATGTGTGTAACATAGTTGCTTCATTTTTCTTTGCTTGAGGACAAGCAAGATCTTAAGTTTGGGGTATTGATAAGTGCTATGATTTCATTAAGTTTATGGCCTAATTTGAAGCACTTATATCAATTTTCTTTCCTTTAGATCTTGTTTTTAACTCAAAACATATCTCAATTGTTAGGTGATCATATTTTGTCTTTGAATCATGTTTTTAGGTAACTCATAGGTATTTGGTTGTTGTTTTGTAGTTGGGAGAAAGTTAGGAAAGGAGGAAGGAAGCCAAGGACAAAGTGATGAACTCAAAGCAGAAGATATTTTTGCCCAAGTCTCCAGGCTAAGCCTCAGATCCACGCTTAGCCTCGGCAGAGAAACTACAACAAAATTTAATCCCCAAGCTGTGTGTGGAATTTGCACTAAGCGCGAGAGTCCCAGAAACTCATTTCTTTCCAGACCTATCCTCAAGCTTAGCATGGCATCTCACGCTTAGCGTGGCATCTCACGCTTAGCGTGGATTGTGCTGAGATGTCATTATTCATACAAGACAAAAGCTTTTATGACCTAAAAGACAGATTTTTGAGGACAGAAGCAAGGAGAATCATTCTTAGAGTTTGTGTGGCGGCTGGAGAGCTCTAGAACCTTCAAGATCAAGCTTCTTCCTTTCTTCATCATTTGTAAAGTTCTACATGTCTATGTGTAGCTAACTTAACCCTTGTTGGGGTTTAATGTAACTAAACCCATTCTCATGTGTAAACTCTAAGCAATCAATCTAAGTTGTTATTCATTTTTATTGTTCTGTTTCTGTGCATAATGCTTGTTATGGCTTGATCACCCTTAACTTGAACTTGAGGTTTTTAAGAGATTGAGAAATGATTTTAAACCTTTGACTTGAAATAGGGAAGCTACTGGTGTTTATTGCTAGAGATAGTTTAAGTTAACAACTTAGATGCCAACTTGTAAGAGATTAGGGCTGGTTACTTTTGAGAGTGATCGATAAATTTTGAATAATAACTATTGTTAGCTCAGTTATAAACATGAGAGGAAGGTTTAGTGAAGTCAAACCCCAACATTTATTAATATTGTAAAGTGTGACGCAAGTCCCTAGGGAGACGATACTCATACGTTCATTGAACTACTTATACAATTTGGTACACTTGCCATGGGAGATAATAGTTCTACTAGATATTCAATGAAGTACAAGTATTATTTGTTCAGCCTCTTCAGGCTCGTAGTGAGTATTCTCGACCACTCCTAGTCCCAATTATTATCAACCACTCTTGGTTCGTCAACTTCACTCGTCAACGCTAGTATTCTTAAACTACTTATGGTTCCCTAAGTATTATCAACCACTCCTGGTTCGTCAACTTCACTCATCAACGCTAATATTCTTTATTCAGCCACTTCTGGCTCTTAGTGAGTATTATCGACCAAATTCTGGCCCGCTAACTTCACTCGTCAGTGCTAGTATTCTTTATTCAGCCACTTATAGCTCTCAGTGAGTATTATCGCCACCTCCTGGCTCGCTAACTTCACTCATTAGCGCTAGTATTCTTTGTTCAGCCATTTCTGGCTTGTAGTGAGTATTCTTTGATAAGTCTCTCCAGGCTTTTACAAGTATTCTTTCCCTAGCCTCTTCAGGCTTTACAAATGTTGGATATATGATTTGGTTTGAATGTTTGGTTTACTCTCATAGAGAGGATACATATGTTTGTACACTCACTAAGGTATGCAACCTTAGTTTTACAAGGATTGAGTGTGTGGTTTACTCTCACAAAGAGGATACATATATTTCTACACTCACTAAGGTTCATGTTCCTAAGTTACACTTAGAACTCCTTAGTCTACAAAGATAAATACACCATCGTAGATTTGACTATATAAGCTTTGTCTTTGGTTTCATTGCTTCATGGGCTGGATATCACTCTTCACCTATCTTTTCCAAAGCCAACCTTTCAAGGTTTGAAGTCGTGATATATATATAGTCTTGTAAAATTTTCCCGTTGCAAATATCCGTTGAAGCAAATGTAGTTGTTCATGATTAGTTTGATCTTCTCATTTAATGTATAAGATCTTGCATTAAATGTTGCTTCTTGTTTTCTAGACATTGCGTGAACCTTCTACGTTTGTTAGCAGCAGTGTCTGACTTTAGCTGAGACCTAGGAACTTTTTGTCCTTTTCCGGTCATCATAGTTGCAGAGCGTTGTCCTTATCTGAAAGAGTATAATTCTTGAGAAGTTCAACTTTGGTGGAGTTGTGACACCCTTACTACCCCAACACGTATCTTGTAATAATGTAAATAAAACTAACGAATATATTTTTCAACATTGGTAAAAAGAGTTCACATAAAATCTTCATAGTTGTTCTTTAATATCCAAAATAATTGAAAATAAAACTTAGAAAATAAAACCTAAGAGTTTACAAATTGTTTTCAAAATAATAAGTACAATTCCAAATCCATATAAAATTCATGTCCTAGAAATCCTCTACCTCTATGTCACAATATCAGAGCACACACACAATTCAACTGTTGGCATTCTAGATGCCACTCATAGCCAGATCTTCCTCATCTAAAACATCCACAAATTGTACGGTGAGAAAAGAAAACATCTATATGTAAAGCACACAAGGAAAATCCACAACATAATCTCATCATAACTCATTACTTAATGAAATATTTACAAGCATTTATATATATCCTAATTCTATCAATCATGCATCATCTTCACATTACAATTCACAATCATACCAATCCATCCCACATCTTGCAATTAACACTATGTCAAGGTCACGCCTCCCCTAACATACGTGTTAATTGCTTCACACATCCCACACTATGCTAAGGTCACGCCACCCTTGTAGCATCTCTTGCCCAAGGTCGTGCCACCCTTGACATAAGTGTGAGGAACCACAATCACATTTATCCATAATCATCACAAATCTTATAATTAACACTATGCCAAGGTCACGCTACCCCTGTAGCATCTCTTTGCCCAAGGTCGTGCCACTCTTGACATAAGTGATATGTGTTAATTGCCTCACACATCCCACACTATGCCAAGGTCACGCCAGCCCTGTAGCATCACTTACCCAAGGTTGTGTCATCTCAGACATAAGTGTGAGGAACCACAATCACATCACATTCACATTCAACACAACATCTCATTTCATGTCAACATACTCACATCATAATAATTGAACAATTAAGTCATAATATACCATTCGTCACATCATGTTATCAATTCAATACTAAAACGGTAGATATAATATATACATTTGTGCGAAGACATCACACCACATTCCATAACTCAATTCCACATCTAAGTCATCAATAATATAACAATAACAATTATAAATTAATATAAAACCTGATTAAATCACCAATTTAATAGAATCTTAACTCAAATAGTAAAACCCTCAATTTTTTCCAAACCTAACTCACAGACACTTTTCTAGAATTTCGTTCTTTCTCCTAGATCATCATTTTTACAAATTATTTACATATTTCTAATCCTCAATACATGCAAACTCTAATGGGATCATCAATTCCTCAAATAGAAATAATTATAAAATTATCCATAATCCTATGGAATTCCTCTTCTACCCAATTTTCTCATGTAACTTTGCATACAAATAATTTCCTTTTCTCCCGTACCTTGATAAGTAGTAGCTGAAACTAAGCAGAATCTGGTTGGTCTCCTCCTCTGGGTTCCCCTTGGTCTTCAGAGAGTGTAGAAAAAAAGAAATCAGAACTGAAAAGTGTACTTTTGGGAGTGTCAAAGCGTGCTATTTATAGGCATGAGGAGTGGCCAAAACGGGCTGTTTTGAATCCAGAACGACCCGTTCTGGACTCATTCGTCGTGTGTAAAATTCACATTCAGAATGGTCCGTTCTTAAACCAGAACGACCCGTTCTAAGGTTGCATTTTAACCCATAACAACCATGTTTGGAATGGTCCGTTCTCAACTAAGGTTTTTAGACCTTTTTAGTAATTTTGAACGGCTCGTTCTAGTCTGGGAACGGCCCATTCTGGGTTACTAAATATCAAACTTTTTAATAGCTTGGAACGACTCATTCCAGTTTGGGAACGATCCGTTCTAGGCTACTAAAACACCCTTAATAAATTTTATGAAAATGACTAAATCACCCTCAATAAAAGTATGAAAACTGGGGTGTTACAGGAGTTGTGGACGCAACTTCTCTTTGCATTGCAAAGTATCTGTGTCAGATTTTGGAATTTTTAGCTAAGTAGATAATTTTTTTTAGAATTTCAGGTCTTCATAAGAGTTGTAGATTATTCTCTTATATTTCTTTCAAGATAAGTTTGAGCTTATTTGGATGAGTATAACTCTTTGTGTGTTATTTTCTTTGACAATTGTTGAAAGGAGATGCATAATGTTTTGATGTTCTAAGGTCTTATCATGTGGATTGAAAAGTGGTTTAAAGTTGTATGATATTAAGTTGTAAAGTTAGTTAATATATGTATGATGATGTGATGTGAATTCATGGTGAATTGTGTGAGGGGTATGTGAACCATTGTTTTGTGTGGATTTATCTATATTGTGCATGTGATGTGGAATTGAAATGTGAACTATGATGTGATGATTGGGCACAGTCGTATGCGTGATACCAGGTCGTAAGAGCATGCACGTCATATAGTGTTATTTTTGTGTTGTTGGGGGCATGGTTGTATGTGTGATATGGTACTAGATGTGTGATGCATCAGGTACAATTGTATGCGTGATATCGGTGTCAGTACGTAGTGGAATGCATTAGCATAGTTGGGTGCATGACACGATGTTGGACATGTAATGCGTCAGCAAGGGTGTGTACGTGATCTAGTGAGGGATGTGTGACACGGTGTATATGTACAATTTGTTTATATGTACATATGTGAATTGTGATGAGATGATGAAATATGTGGATTGTGATGAGATGATGGAATCTGTGTGTTTATGGATTATATTGCTTTGAGATTGTTTGTGAAATTTTATGATGTGCTTTTTATATAAATATTTTCTTTTCTCACTATACGTTTGTGGTTGTTTTTAGGTGAGGAAGATGTGGACATGGGTGGCATTCGAGGTGTCAATAGTCGAGTCATGGGATTGCTTTGGTAGTGTGACATCGAGGCAAATGATTTTAGATTATTTATTTTATTATATTTGGATTTTATATTTCTTTATTAGTTAAATTTATGAACTTAAATTTTATAAATATTTGTTTTAAATTATTTGGATATTGGAAGTATTTTAATTGTGAACCATTTTACTCGAGTTGGGGAACTATTTCTTTATATTTTTATATTATATGTGTTAGGATAGAATGGGTGTTACAGACTTTGCCTGTGTGCTAATGGATTCACTCCTTTTAACCAATCAGGAAAAAAAATATTCTTATTGACCAATAATTGTTACACCATATAACCTTCCTTCGAAGCTATGTTTGATGACACCTTATATGTTTTTGACTTTGATCATTCCAAGTCAACACAATCCAAAAGGTAAAGTTGATGTGTTTTTGCAGCCAGCCATTGATAGATGAATTGCAACAATTATGGAATAATGGTGTGATAACATATAAAGTAAGTGTTCCTCTAACTATTGTGTCAAATAACAATGAAGAGGAGCAACACAATAATGAACCCATGATTCATAATGAACTTATTGTAGAACATCCACACGAAATAACATTACGAAGGTCACAACGAGAAAAAAGACCAGCTATTTCAAATGACTATATGGTATATCTACATGAGTTAGAAATTGACTCAAGTATTAATGAGAATGATCCAGTTTCGTTTTCACAAGCTGTAAGTTGTGATAATTTTGAAAAGTGGTTAAATTCCATGAAAGAAGAATTAAAATCCACGGAACAAAATGATGTTTGGGACCTTGTAGAATTGCCAGAAGATTGCAAGAGAGTTGGTTGTAAGTGGGTCTTTAAGACAATAACTTTGAAATGAAAGATATGGGCGAGGCAAGTTATGTGATAGGAATAGAAATATTTTGACCATTCTTTTGACTGGGGAAGCAGGCTAAGTGCTGCTGCAAAGATAGCTGAGGCTTTGGCATATATGCATGAGGAGTTTCTTGAGAATGGAATAGCACATGGTAACTTAAAATCAAGTAACATTTTGTTTGACAAGAACATGGATCCATGCATAAGCGAATATGGGCTAATGATGGCAGAAAATCAAGATCAAATTGTCCTTTCCCACAACAGAAACCTCAAAAACAAAGATCTGATTGCAGCCACCTTCAAAGCTGATATATATGCCTTTGGTATGATACTTCTGGAGCTTCTGACAGGGAAAGTAATTAAAAATGATGGATTTGATTTAGTAAAATGGGTGAATTCAGTGGTCAGAGAGGAATGGACTGTTGAAGTTTTCGACAAGACCCTAATCTCACAAGGTGCTTCTGAAGAAAGGATGATGAAGTTGTTGCAGGTAGCATTAAAATGCGTAAATCCTTCTCCCAATGATAGGCCAAGTATGAGCCAAGTTGCAGTGATGACAAATTCTTTGAAAGAGGAGGAAGAAAAATCCATATCATTTGACACATGACCGAGAGTTTAGTCATACACTTCTTCACATCAGATTAAAAAGAAAAAAAAAATCTCTCCAGAAGTATATGTTAATTCAAACAACTCTAATTTTTGTTAGTTTCAAGCATATCATGATCAGATTCAGAACGCATTAATATGGGAACTTATTTAATATGGTAAATGATCCAAAATTAGTGGTAATTTCAATTAGCAAAAGTGAGAGTGAAAGCAGGTTTTACATTTTCTACACGTTATCTCATCACTGTTCTGCATCCCTGCAATGAAATTTGTGTTCCTGTAATAATTCCATGCCGCACAAACCGAGCCAAGCTGCATGTTACTTCAGCAGGTCAGTTTAGCTTTGAAGTTTTTTTACATGCAAGTAAAAACGAGTCTCAAGACTTGTTTCTTGATTCTAAATTATAAGAATTAGGAGGTTTGTTCTAAAATACTGCAAGTCTTTTTATTTCGAATTTAAGAAAAGATTTTAACAGTGAATAACAATCAATATATTTTGAAATGATCGTTTTTCCATTATACAACTATTGTAGTGTACTTTCATTTATCAAATATTGAATTAGATTGGATAGAAAATTTCTTTTTAGTTAGAAAATTAGATTGAATAATTTTTTCCCCTTAATTACTTAAAAGTACATACGGCAGTACATTTGAACCTTGATTAATTTCATTCTAACATATTATCCCGTGATAACATGATTTTCTAACATTTACTAAATCGGTTAGTTACTTAATACTTGATTCTTTAAATAAAAAAATAACTCTTAAAATGTAATATTTTATTTTTTTTTGAAAAAAATAATTAAGATGATAATATATGCCATCAGACACCTTGCCAAAAGTACATATTTTATATAATAATATTAAATTATTTCCCATTACAAAAACACGATCCGATTCATAGTAAACCAATCTAGTTTAAATGTTATTCGTACAAATATGAAAAGTCACCAATTTAACTGATCGATATCGAGGCATGTGAAGCATTTTCAACATTAGTTATTTTATCCTATGTTTTTAAAATTGGATGATTATTAAGTCAGTTTAGATACTAATTTAAAATTTAATAATTAAATCGTGATTAAATTGATATTAATATAATAATAGCAAGTATTTCTAATACAATAATAATAAATAAATAAATAAATATAATATCATAATTGTAACGACCCGCCGTGATCGTCTCAATACGAAACAACACTACACACTACTGGAATATATATACTAAAATAGTATGATAAAATATTTACAACTCAAGTTGCTAATCAAGCAACCAACAACAATTAATTATATACAACAAAGTATGCTACTATAAGGTAGACTACAAAAAAAAATATATCCATCTCCAGGCACCTCCTGTGGTCTCTAGCAGCTATCTCCCAGCCTATCCCTGCTCTGCTCCCATACAACGTATGATCATCGTAGTCCAAACCACATGGAAACATGCAAGGGTAAGCTAGAGACAATAAACAACTCATAAATATCAAATATGAAACACAACTATATAATCATCTTCACATCCGATACAAAAGATAAACAACACATATATTATACATCTTAACATCATTTCAACTTGATTCCACGTATCAACGCTGTATCAACACTTCAATGCAACTACTGTACAAACCATTGGAATAGTTATTATATTCATCATAACAACAACCAACACATGTGTTACACACCTCTCAACAACACATTTTTAAAACAACTTACAACACAGGTAATCTAGCGACACTAGCATCATCATCAACTTGTATACAATTAAGCAACTTACAACATAACAACACTGTCATCATCCTCAACAGGATCAACATACAACACAATTACAACTTAACAATACAACAACATAGATACAACTCTTATCAACAACAAATCAACTCATCAACAACTTATACATCGTCACGCATTTCAACTCGGAGATCTCCTACAACGTGGTAAGTAGTCTAAGTAGCTAGGTCCTACCGAACCGACAATACAGAACCTTTTTTGGGCTTGCTAGGTAAACAACAAATTTGGATAGAAATTCACAACACGATAATGATTTCTCAGACTTTGCCACTTAAACAAAGAAGTATAGTACTCGATTAGGAACTAAGTTCCCGACTTCGTACTACACTCAAATTGGTCGCTTTGTAATTGGTATAGCTCGACCTAGCCCCTATACTATGGTTGCTTTGTAATCGGTATAGCTCAACTTTGTCTCTATACCGTGGTCGCTTTGTAATCAGTATAGCTCGACATTGCCCCTATACCGTGGTTGCTTTGTACACGTGTGCCTCGACCTTGCCCACACACGGGACCAACTAAGTCCTAGAGGAGAACAACACAACGTCCACTCCAAGGGAAAAATTCTCAAGGAGGGTTTTTAACAAATTGGGCTCTCAGAGCACCACAACTATCTCAATCCGCACAATGGGATGAGCAACTTCGAAAACATCTCCTCTAGTCCTCGTGATCAACAACTTATCATCACAACTAAATCAGTTTACAACTCAACAGCACAGCTCAACTTAACAACTTAAACAACACACAACTTTCAACTCATCATCTCAACTTTCAACTTAAACAACATGATATATCAGCACAACAACTCATCAACGTTGTTTAACAACACATTTTAACAACACAACATTTCATTTCAACCTTAAACAACACAATCAACTCAACAACTTATTATCTCAACTTGTAATTTACAACTCAATCATCATAAAATAATATCTTTTCAACACATGGCACAACATACAACTTTTTAGCAACATACAACTCTTCTCTAACAACTTAACAACATGGCCTACTAATAAATTTTGTATAAATCTCAACACGTCTACACTTTTTACATCATGCTTCTCACAACTCACAACATTATCATTTCATCATATTTTACAACATATAAATAATTCACACATAAATATAACAACTTTAGCAACATACCATGTATTCAACGCATTTTCTATTTGGCACAACTACTCATTTAGTTTACAACACTATACTCAACATGCATCTCTTCATTTCACTTTCTACTCATCATACATTTCAATGTAATTATACAACTTCATATGAGTTCCTAAACTCACACCCAACCAAACAACATACAATCTAGCTTCCCTTACTTGAAGATTGGCTCAAAATAGTCAAGAACTGAGAAGAAGTAGAATTTCCTTTCCGAAGCTCAACCCGGAACTTCAATCCACCCAAAGCAAGCTTCGTAGTCCAGAGTCCTTCTCTCTAAAACTTCTTTCTAAAAACCTCTCCTTCTCCTCAACTGCACAACCTCTATTTATAGAAGTATGAACTGGCCAGAACGGCCCGTTCTGGGCTCCTTCATCATGTGTAAAGTTCACATTCAGAACTGTCCATTCTGGCACGTCTAGAACGGCCCATTCTGGCACGTCTAGAACGGCCCGTTCTAAAACTGGCACTCCCCATTCTGGAGTTGAATGTAACTCATAATGACCATTTTGAAACGGACCGTTCCAGTCCAAGATTCATAGGCCTATTTAGTAGTTTGGAGCAGTCCGTTCTAGGCTACTAAATCACCCTTGTTTTAGTAGTTTGGAACGGCTCATTCTAATCTGGGAACGACCCGTTCCAGTTTACTAACTATGTTACAATAATTTTATAAAAGTAAAATTAAAATAATTTTTTTTTTTATATTTTTAACATTTATGATGTAATTTTTTTTTATATTTTCAAACAACTATCCAAGTATTCTTTCAACAAATCTCTCCAGGCTCAACACTAAGTATTCTTTCAACCAAGTCTCTTCATGCTCAAACACTAAGTATTCTTTTGCACAAGCCTCTCCTGGCTCAACCACTAAGTATTCTTTTGCATAAGCCTCTCTAGGCTCAACTATTAAGTATTGTTTTGCACAAGCTTCTCGAGGCTCACCCCTTTCAACAAAGGTAGTGAATGATTATAGATTGATTTGTCTCTTCTAAACGTGATGTAATCAACAACGAAAGCATAAATAATCTACAAAGAAATATATACAAGATTTATAAATGAAAAACTTCTTTGTAGAGTTTCAGCTTTGTATGTTTCAGTATGCTTCTCAATTCAAACTTCTCAATGTTTATCACATTTGTTTAGTATATGTTGCTCTTTTTATGTACAACACTTCTCTATTCTCTGCTTTGTTATTTGAAGGCTTGATCATTTTATAGTAACTTCATAGAAGATAACCGTTACAACAACTTTGAGTTGAACTTTCAATTTTCTTCACGAGTTGCTTCATTTGTCTTCTTTGTTGATCCTAGAGATTACCGTTGATGCATTTAATACAAGCATTAAATTCCTTTTAGCAAAGCGTGTATCACTTATTTGAACTTGTTCAACCATTAAGTATTCTTTTTCACAAGCCTCTCTAGGCTTACCCCTTTCAGCAAAGGTAGTGAATGATTATAGATTGATTTGTCTCTTCTAAACGTGATGTAATCAACAATAAAAGCATAAATAATCTACAAAGAAATATATACAAGATTTATAAATGAAAAACTTCTTTGTAGAGTTTCAGCTTTGTATGTTTCAGTATGCTTCTCAATTCAAACTTCTCAATGTTTATCACTTTTGTTTAGTATATGTTGCTCTTTTTATGTACAACACTTCTCTATTCTCTGCTTTGTTATTTGAAGGCTTGATCATTTTATAGTAACTTCATAGAAGATGGCCGTTACAACAACTTTGAGTTGAACTTTCAATTTTCTTCACGAGTTGCTTCATTTGTCTTCTTTGCTGATCCTATAGATTATCGTTGATGCATTTAATACAAGCATTAAATGCCTTTTAGCAAAGCGTGTATCACTTATTTGAACTTGTAGACTACTTATCATCATTTGAGAATGGAAAAAGTAATGTTAGCACATAGTATTTGAAGTTAGTGTAGAACAGTCTTTCGTAGAGCCTTTTCCGTGATATCCAAAATTTTGCTTCATGCTTCACACGAATATTTGGTCATTTTCATCTTTAACAAATTTTAAGAGTTTCAACATTTTTTTTTCTTTTTTGACCTATTAAGGAATAATATATTTAATGAAATTAAGTGTTAGTCTCATTTGGAAGTATTCATTTAATGCATAGAGACAGGCTGTATGCTTCGTCTAATTTCTTTCATCTTACAGATGATACATATTTTTCACATTTCGTCTTATATAACGTTTCTTGCATTGTAGATATTTGACTTGGTTTTAAAAAAAAAATATTTGTTTATTATCATTAAAACTTAAGGGATCCAAGATTGTCTTTTAACTTAACACAAGATCATTTTTTGACTTAACACTAACACATAATACATCAAATTATCATCATGATTTCCACACTTTGACAATGCAATTATGGCATATCATAGTTTCAAACAAAGAGAAATACATTGTAGGCTAATATAGTACATGTATGGATATGCCTACTTATTTAAGGATACTAGCATGATTGATTTAAGTAATCTATTTGGCAAACCAAAGAAGGTGGCCCTCAGGGAACATGTGACACACTGGAGTAGTTCCAGGCTTGATTTTAAGCATCTGGAAAAAAATATGCTTTGGATTCCATTCTGATGTGTCTTTGTGGCACACAGCTACAGCTTTAACTCTAGTACCATCTTCTCCTTCCAAAGGCATAAAATGTGCAGTAGTATTTAGTACCTCGTGACAAAAAAAGACAACATAAGGGTAATTCATAGGATGACAAACAATGATCTTATCTTCTGCTAACTTCTTCACTCCATTTTTCACTAAGAATTTTGTGGACATTGTTTCCTTTTCCACCTCTGTAGAAACAACATGGATGTTCTTCCCAAGCTTAGAAGTGATGAAATCCACCATGGATTCTAGTGAAGTTGCACAATGTTTTTCTTCTCCAATCATTGCAGGTGCTTGACACCGACTAGTGGCTTTCTTCACAATCTCAACATTCTTAGGCTTTGGATTCACAAAAAGAATCTCCAATATTTCTTTTGTCTTTTCTGGAGAGAATGGTATACGTTCTGCAATTTGGCGAGCCAACAATGGAGTTGTATAAGTTCTTTTATAGAAGTGTCCTTCTAATTTCATGCCAGGCTTCAATCCTTCCTCAAAGAAGACTAGATCGGGTTTTAGGTTGTCATGGTGATGATGATTAGCAACAAGGTTTACCTTTGGAAGAAGAGCATATAAAGGGAATTCATCTTGTGATCGAATCTTTTCAGCACCATATAAAGGGAATTCATCTTGAGATCGAATCTTTTCAGCGCCATACCAAGGGATTTCATCTTGAGATCGAATCTTTTCAGTGCCATACCAAGGGATTTCATCTTGTGATTGAATCTTTTTAGCGCCATACCAAGGAAGTTCATCTTGAGATCGAATCTTTTCAGCGCCATACCAAGGGATTTCATCTTGAGATCGAATCTTTTCAGCGCCATACCAAGGGATTTCATCTTGTGATTGAATCTTTTTAGCGCCATACCAAGGAAGTTCATCTTGAGATCGAATCTTTTCAGCGCCATACCAAGGGATTTCATCTTGAGATCGAATCTTTTCAGCGCCATACCAAGGGATTTCATCTTGTGATTGAATCTTTTTAGCGCCATACCAAGGAAGTTCATCTTGAGATCGAATCTTTTCAGCGCCATACCAAGGGATTTCATCTTGAGATCGAATCTTTTCAGCGCCATACCAAGGGATTTCATCTTGTGATTGAATCTTTTTAGCGCCATACCAAGGAAGTTCATCTTGAGATCGAATCTTTTCAGCGCCATACCAAGGGATTTCATCTTGAGATTGAATCTTTTCAGCGCCATACCAAGGGATTTCATCTTGTGATTGAATCTTTTTAGCGCCATACCAAGGAATTTCATCTTGAGATCGAATCTTTTCAGCGCCATACCAAGGAATTTCATCTTGAGATCGAATCTTTTCAGCGCCATACCAAGGGATTTCATCTTGTGATTGAATTTTTTCTACACCATATAATAAAAATTAATCTTGTGATTAAACCTTTTTAAAACCTATAAAGGGAATTCATTTTGTGATTAAACCTTCTTAATAAACATGAACATAAAAAGAAACTAATATTGTATTGAGCTATTAAACATAATAGACATAGAAAAGTGAAATCTCATATGGAGTCTCCTTAACACCCATGAACATTTGAACATGAAAAGGAAATCGGTATTGTATACAAGCTTTTTTTTTTTTTTTTTAAAGTTAGATCTTTAAAACCTAATACCATGAAAATTTAAAACAAATAAATAATCAAGATTTTAATATCACATGAAAGATATGATGTATTTAATTAGGAAATTGCTTGTTAGTACGAATTCATGTCGTACAAATATTAAAATATTGTTAATTACCTGTTATTTTAGTTAACAGTCTAATTTCTTTTATCTTTTAATTTATACTTGAGCTAATTGTATTAAAACATGTGTTTCGTAAAATATTTTGCACCAAAACCTCTCGTACCATTAGTGTGTATTTGGGCATCCGTTAGCATCCATTTTTAACGTGATTTTTCACATCCAATTTGACGTTACGTACAAGTTGTAGCTTTTGTATTCTACATTAATTTTATGTGAATTTTCATGTTTCGGATGCACTTCCAAACGCAGACTTGGTATTGCTCATTTAATTATGGTTGAAGGCATATTATGAAAAAGAAAAAATTTAACATCGGCTATACTAAGGGGAAAAAATCTTTTTTTTTTTTGACGAAAAGAAAAATTAATTAATTATTCACTTAAAAAATATTCTAACATTTAAACAATTCATTTGAAAAGGCTTAAGAAAGCTTTAATCATAATATAAGTAAAACAGATTTAGAATTTCTAAAGTAAAAAAGATGAGCTTTTAAAAGTAAAATGTAATTATAATTACTAGTTATAAAATCCATGGTTAAAAATTATTGATAAAATTATATATATATATATATAACTCTAAAATTAATTATATAATTATAACTATTAATTTTTGGTCAAAACTTGTGAAAAAATGAGATTTAACAACAAGATATTACATCAGTTGTCTTACAACGGATGTAATATGTAACCTAATGACATTTTTTTTATAAATAATATCAATTACACTACATTGGCTATAGTTTAATTGATGTAGTGTACTACTTTCTACATCCGTTCAATGATCAACTAATGTTAAAAAGGGACATATTACTTGAGTTCGAGTTTCAACCGATATATTATATTTAAAAAAAAAAAATTTAAAAAAATAATATTTTCAATGTTAGTAGGTGTTAGAAGTGGGTGTTGTGGGCGCAAATCTATTTTGCCTTCACTTTTATTTCATATTTGTCTATGTTGTTTGTATTTTTGTTGTTTAAATTTCATAGATTTGTGAAGAGAAGACACAGACAAGGTTGTGAATATGGATGAAGTTGTGGTTGTGGTCATAGATTTGTATGGCATTGAAAAGCATGGAAAGAAAAGTTCTCAGAAAAAGGGAAGTGAGTTTAGGAGTGAAGGTTTGTAGAGGCATAAATTTGCTGGAGAAGGTTTAGGGGAAGAAGATGTAGTGTGAAGGGGATTACAATGTGGTTGGGGGTTGAGATGAGGTGTAATTGGGGGTGTGGAAAGGGAGATAAGGCATTTGGGGGAATATGGTGATGGGCACCAGGAGTTCACACACACGTCTTTAGTCTCTATATTAGTATTATATGGTCTATTTTAGCCTTAAACTCTCGTAGTTTTTTGTCTTTGTAATATCCCAAAAGTCCTCACACCAATAAAGACTATGTATGCTTTATAAATTCTTGTTTCTCCTCATGGTCTAATAATGTGTGATTTTGTTTGTACTCCTCCCCTCAAACAAAAGATTATGGTTTTAACCTCTCCTTTAAGTTGAAGGGAGTTGTGTATGGTTGAAAAAAGGGGGAGGAAGTGGCATTGCTAGAAAGAAGGACATGAAATCACTTACAGTTTATATTAGTGACATTTACATATTATGTATTTAACTAATTTAAAAGACCTCTTATTCATTAGTGTAATTATTATTTTCTCTATTTTTTTTTATTTTTCAGTTTTTAAAAGAGTTTTATTTTTATTTATTTGTCATTGACAAAGTTTAATATGATATTAATTTTTATTTTTGTTAATTATACCCATATTTACCTAAATATCTAACTTTTTATTGAATTTGCACATTAATATATATATATATATATATATATATATATATATATTTGTGGAGTAAAATAAAAAAAAAT